GAGCCACAGCACTGACCTGTATCATGAGCATCTGTTGAGGCAGATGTGCAGGTCAGAGCGATGACAGACAACAAGTTTGCTGCTCTGCGAGGAGGTTGCTTCGTTGTCCTTCGGGCAGCTGGAGGAGGAAGTGATCGAGACCGAAGGCGAATGGGATCAGTAACATTTGTCCCACCCTTGTCTGCCCTCTGGGGCCTCTGTCCCGGCAGCCCGCACGGTCAAGCCGATCCGCCCGTTTGACGCAGCAGGGTGTGTTTTTCGCTTCTGTGTTATTGAGTCAGACAGGCTTGTCAGAGGAGCCTGCTTCGGTGGGTTGGACGGTCTCTTACTGACAGGTTGGCCTGACCCAGCTGTCTGAGCCACATTTCACAGACTCCCACTGTCTGTCAGACGCTGAGATTACAAAGACAGTGACTGCTGTCTGTCTGTGATCTGCCTGTCTGACTGGCAGTCTCTGCTGTGACAACACCAGACAACACCACAAAGCGTGGGCTACTGCCTTTCAAAAACTTGGTCCAAAAATGTCAAACCAATAAGGCAACTGGGGACTTGAGGGTTCATTTGAATCATTAGTGGATTGAGCCCATGTGACCGTTTTACTCATTATGAAATATAATCAGAGTTTTGCATGCAGGCTAAACACAAAAATAGTCTTCTACACTACGTCCTGCATTAGCTACTGATAGAAAATAGATAAGGAAACATGGATTAGAAAAGCCAATCAGGTTTATTTCACACTGAAAATGAGTATTTACGGACTCACCCATCAAGGCTGTTGTTGGTTTAGCATCCAGGAGAGAGCAGAGCACGTCTCGACTAGTAGAAGCTAACGTTAGCATTAGCAGCATCAAAACATGGCAGAACACCTATAAAGCATAAATGTTGCAAAGCAAATGGAGTCAGTTGTTTTTAAACAAAATCCGAGACGAGATGTCCGAATATCAGCAAGTAAGACTCCAAAATCAGCCACGTTCTGGCTCACTTTTACTTCCTGAAACAGGAGCGCTAGATCGTTTTTCCCTACAGAGATCAACTTACAAGGCATTAATTTATACTAGAGACCACCGCAAACGTGTTAGCATACAATAAACTTGTTTGGTCTTTAGAAACTGAAAAGTAAAAACAAAAATTTGATTGTACTCCGTTCCAGTCGTATGTCGCTGCTACAAAAGTGAATGCAGTTTGCATTAAGAGCTTTCAAGGTGATTTATTTGGCGCAATAAAAACCAAGAATATACAAGATTACCACGTGATGAAGTTTAATTATAAACAAGACAGTCGCTTCATATTCATCAGCAGGCCGAGCCAGCAGTAGGACAAGGAGAAGTGCTCCTCCGGAGTGCTTGATCTGTTTACCCTCTTAAATCACCAAAGCAGAGCATTGCAGTGCTCTCCTGCTCCCGCCAAGTGGTGACCAGACATCCAGCCAGACAAAACGTACATCTATTCCTTACGCTTTAGCCGAGTCTTGCATGGCCACCCCGTCAAACCAAAGCAAAACTGATGCTACCTTCACTGCTTCCTGGAAGGATCCTCTGGGATGAAGCAGTAGGGCATCAGAGAGACAGGTGAACAACCCGGACGTGATCGGGGGGCATCTGAGGCACATCCTCAACCTGTCACATGTGCGTGTGTGTGATGCGTGAGAGCAAGCAGTCGGGCAAGGTTCTGCTGGCACATTTGGGATTTGCAGCTATCAGCAGGAGAAATCTGCACTGCAGAGACTGCAGGGGGAGGGAGGAGAGCAGAACTGGAAGCGAGGCTGGTCGGGAAGCGGGGAGGAGAGGAAAGGCAGGAGAACTGGCTGGCTAATGGCAGGGCTAATCTCAGCATCCTTTAGAGTGCTCCCCTGGAAGCATAAAATTTAATACACACTATATTAGCTAAAATAATACAAGTGGAAAAATATTGATCTAGACCCCCTGACTGAGTCAGACTAAATGTATAGAAGATGTAAATTAGAAGAAACTATAGGAACGTGCAGCAGGGCTGGGATATAATCCTTTAATGGTCTGTCGTTAATCCAGAGGCATCTGACAGTGTTTCAGAATGAATCCAGAAGTTGAACACAACTGTCAGAGTTTAGATTTTACAACTAAACACCCTCGACCTGTCTCCAGTAATTTCACAGATTCCTGTGAGGATTCATTTAAGTGTGTTTACAGATAATGTGCGCTGGATAAAAGCGTGTTTTCCTGTGTTTATACATCAACCAGCCACTAAATCAGATCAGAGATCGTTTATGAAAGAGCCGTCCTCTGTGCAGCATCCCGGTGTCACCTTCAAAAGTAAACGTGTGATTATGAACTGATGCAGTTGCAGTTAACCATGTGTCTTCCTAACTTTTATTCCTGGTATGAATTGCTTGAAATTGCATTAGCAGTAGAAGTTTATCTTTATTTTATTTATTTTTTTGCTTTTTGCTCATCAAGTCCAGTGACCCGGCAGCATCACACTGATGAGTTCAGCTCTGCTCCATATTGTTCATCTGGAGCCCTCAGAGCTGATGTAGTACCATTAGTCACAGCCGGTGCGAGCACGTCTCTCGGTGCTTCACTGGTAACAAATGAGCGTGTGGAAATGTTTGAGCAGCTAATCACACCAAACGTAGTTCATCTCCTTTTTAATGACTGAGCTTTATTTCATAACAAAACAGTGAAGCATTTACGTTTTCCTTTTTATCGCCGCTGGAGCTGGAAGCGCTCAGCCGGGCTCCTGAAGCCACCTGATTGGCTTGGCCCACGGCTGCATTTGGGAGATTAAGCTGTAGAGCAGCACAGAGGAGTGATCAGAGCTGCGGGATGTGGGACTGAGTCCCAGGAAAGACAAAAACTGGGCAGCGTAAACACGAGATGACCTTCAGAGTAAGACAAGGAGGCGTGGAGCTCAGAATAAAGAGAAGCTTCACTTCTATCCTTCCATGGAAGACATCCATGCCTACTTCCTCCCTTTTTGATCCCCTTTTGGTCCTTTGCTGATTCACCACTACATTGCAACCTAAGACAATGATCTTGAATCATTTGTCATTGCTAGCAAATTTGCCTTTGGGCTGTCAGAGCTGTCGCTTGTGCTTGCAGAGGCAGGGGACCCTGATCAGGATGCTCGAACGTTGCAGCATCATTTCATTTTAATTGCGTCCCTTTTTATGTTTCGCTTGTGATAGATAAACAATTTAAATCTCTTATGTCTTCATCCCACACGCACGGAAAGCTGGGGCATCAACAATACAGCCAAAAGTCATCAGTGAAGTTAATTTGGGGTGTGATGAGACCACCTGGCAAGGTCAGACGCAGCTCAATCTGGATTGAGCTGCCTCATTGAGTATGATGGATGTCCACCGATGTAGCTCTTGCCTATAATTCTCGACAGACCCACTTAGCCAAGACAATGGCTTTCTGTCAAGTTTAAATGAGCATATTAATAATTAGAGCAGCGGTGTCAGCAGAAAAAGTTTTAAAGCAACAGTTTCCTGCGGGAACGTTGCAGCGTTAACAGGAAGTTTAGTGTGTGGTTGGTCCTGCCCCAAGGATCCCTTTTAAAATGGCACCAATTTAAGCTGCATTGTGTGTGTGTGTGTGTGTGTGTGTGTGTGGGTGTGTGTTGTTTTTCTTGAGGTATGGTGAGTATTTTAGTTGGTACAGCCTCCATAATCGGTGCTGCTGAACTAAACTGAGATGTGACCTTTTAAAGATGGCCTATATTACCCTATGATAAATGGAAAATGGCCTGAATTTGATATAGCACCTTCTAGAGTCCTGAAACCCCCCAAGGCGCTTAACAACACAGTCATTCATCCATTCACACACACATTCACACGCTGGTGGTGATGAGCTACGATGAAGCCACAGCTGCCGTGGGGCGCACTGACAGAGGCGAGGCTGCCGAGCACAGGCGCTACCGGTCCCTCCGACCACCACCAGCAGGCAAGGGGGGCTAAGTGTCTTGCCAAAGGACACAACAACAGTGACAAACTGAGCGGGGCTCGAACCTGCAACCTTCCGATTATGGGGCAAGCACTTAACTCCTGTGCGACCGTCGCCCAATCACCTTATCAAAATAAAAGCTCAGGCGGTTAGAACGAAAAGCTACAATGTGAAAAATGTAACTACAGGTATTCATCTATCTGACTAGCTCATTCCCCCACTTCATACAGAGGGGCCGTCATAGCCAACCTCGGACCTTAGATACTTGCATACACTTTTCACTTGTTTCCACTATTGTCACCTACGGCTAATTTTACTGAACTTTCAAGGCATAGTATAGCAAACTGCACCCCCTGGGTGTGTCTCCATTTCACCAGTCCGGCGTGAAAGAACCCTTTCAATGTCCTGCCGAGAATCTGCCTTTGGGTATTTACTGGGAAGCGGCCCAATAGAGCTGTTGAAGGAGACTTGCGGTAATGCTGATTTGTTATGATGATGCCGATATTTTTAACCTTTTGTATATAATTCCGTACGTGTAAAATATGAGTACAAATTTATCAAAACTGCTAAGATCCTGTTTCTTTGTTTAAGAGAGCAGCATTGCCAGGTGTTTTCAGCTTTTGGACTTTTACACTAAAATGCACAATAATAAAGAGTAAAACATGTGAGTGGGGCCTGAGACAGCAACATTTTGATTCAGTTATTGTTTTATTGAAGACACATCAGGGAGGACTGAAAACGTGTGAGATGCTGTGTCTGCCTTTGTGGACTTGTGTAAGTACACGTACCAGTCAACTCATCCGTTGGAGAGCAGATTGTCTCAGATTGAATATCAGATCTGTCCTCGTTCGTCCTCTGTTTGGCTGCAGCCTGTCACACCCAATTATAACATTTTGACTCAGATGTCTGATTTCCTGCAAGTTCATTGAAACGACTGAAGCAGCTGTGTTTATGTGGGGGGGAAAGCTAGGAAGTGCGACATAAATATGAATCCTCACTTAACATGATTGTAAGTCAGCATTAATATGAGAACTAGTGATATTTAGCTGTTTGTCTGAAAGGTGTGCTTCTGTTTAGGAGAAGACCGGACCAGAGAGAACGTGGTGGGCACCGCAGACACGCAGTCGGCCGGGGCGGCCGGGTCAGAGCCGGACAGACGGAGGCTCCACTGTTGCATCAGAGTAACAGCTGTTCAGGTGCGGAAGGCTCTGTGGGGGGTCGCCATGGTGATGTGCGTGTGTTCGTCCTGGGCGGGCTCCACTCAGTTGGCCAAGCTGACCTTTAAGAAGTTCGATGCCCCGTTCACCCTCACCTGGTTCGCCACCACGTGGAACTGCCTCTTCTTCCCTCTGTATTACATCGGCCACGTGTACAAGAGTCCGGAGAGACAGACGCCCCGGCAGAGGTTCAGGTTAGAGAACTCACACTCCACCAATAACACAAGTCACTGAATGAATGATAATTTAATGGAAATTTCTATGATTTCTAGGTTTTTGACATTGAAAGTCTTACTCTGTTCATTTGGCTTCTCCTCAGATTCTTTATCTCTCTGATCTGTATTCCCTAAATATTATTTGACATCATTGTCATGTTTCAAAGACTAATCATGCCCAAGGCAAAGGGCAACACACTCCCTTATGTCTTTTAATGACCAGAGATCCTCATCAAAGCAATCCTAATGGAGCTAAGCAACACTGGTGCAAATGTCTCAAGACATTCAGAAAAGCTTTCCTAACCTTTGTAAAAGATCACGAAGAAAGTTTGTGATCTTCCTTTTCGTGTTCAATTAAATAACTTCTAGATGCTGTAGTTACTCATCATTTAATTTTCTTTAAAGACTTACCGTAGATCGCTAAAGCTGATGGCGGGAAGGATTGTCTGTGGTGGTTTAGCAGCAGAGCTGAAGAAGACGGGATTCAAGATGAGTTGGGTTTTCTCCACACATTAAGTTACATCTGCATATTTCTACAGATGACAGGACTTGTGCCGAATGTTTGAGATGTACAAAGTGAAAAGGAATGGTGAGAGCACAGTGCCCTGTGGTGCTCCTTGAATCATTTTGATCAGCGGTGCCAAATCCTGGTCCTGTAAAACCCCTGTCCAACATGTTTTAGTTGCTTCACTGCTTCAACACACTTGAGTCCATAGTTGAATCACTTGTTCAGCAGCTCATCAAGCTCATCAGAAGTTTGTTAATCACCTGCGGATCAAAACCAGGCGTGTTGGAGCAGAGAAATAATTAAAACATGCTGGATTGTGGACCTCTATAACCAGAATTAGGCAGCCCTGATTTAGGCTGAAGAAGAGTTGGAGTTCCTTGTGAAAAAAGGCAAAATATCCCATTTGTATAATGCCATATCATGAGAAAGTGTTCACAGGTTATGGCAAAATGAATTAGAGGCGCCTCCAGAAAGTTTTAAAGGGATGTCTTGAGTATTACTTGCTTTTGTCCTACATAGGCTTTTTGATAAATGCTAATGAAGGAACTGTTTTCTGATATAGGCCGACTTTGAATTGCATTTTTATTCCAATTTATAGAAATCTTTGGTTTTATGAAGGACAAAAATAGACATAATCAGGAATGATTAGATAAAGGTTGCAATTCATTGCCGCTTGACTATGGCGCGGTATGGGGGCCAAAATTAAGACTACTGCCCAGCAGCAGGAGGCTATATAAATTCTGAAGCAAACTACTGACCTGATTAACGATAAGCTGGCGCCGGTAACTGAGAGGCTGGTGCTCCTTACTGAGGAAAAGCACCTTTACCGGCATTACTACTAGATACGGTAGGGACTAGCAACCCTCGGCTGGTCATTGACTGGTTCACACACCCTCTGCTGTCTATTAGCATGGATAGGCTAGCGTTAGCTCGGACGGGCTGGTGTTAGCATTGGAGAGGCTAGCCATTAGCGTGCCTAGGCTGGCCACTAGCTGGATTTCCTACCCCCTCGACGGACCTTAAGCATGGATAGGCTGGCATTAGCATTGGAGAGGCTAGTCATTAGCATGTCTCGGAGAGTCACTTACTCTACTAGATGCGTTTATTTATTTTTTTACTTTTATTAAACGGATGACATAATATGAGACCTGCAGTCACAGTTGTTCCTTTGACAGAACGCGTTGTTATACACATTAACTTTAAGCATATTGTAAAGCCGACAGCCTGTTAGCATTGATTAGGTGCTGCGTTAACTCCATTTTGCTCTTAATTACAGGTTGATGGTGTTTTCTTTTTATATAGTTTGGTTTTCTTGCACATATCAGAGAAAAAGCCAGAGCTAACTAGTCAGTATTTTTCATCTTTGGATTTTAAATAATTTGTATTGAATTACAGGTTAATAATTACTTAAATTGTGATATCTTTATTAAAAAATATAAAATGTACAAAAAAAACCCACATCTAATAGATTAAGTGACTCTCCGAGACATGCTAATGGCTAGCCTCTCCGAAGCTAACGCCAGCCTATCCATGCTAAAGGTCCATCGAGGGGGTAGGAAATCCAGTTAGTGGCCAGCCTAGGCATGCTAATGGCTAACCTCTCCGATGCTAACGCCAGCTTATCCATGCTAATGGTCCATCAAGGGGGTAGGAAATCCAGCTAGAGGCCAGCCTAGGCACGCTAATGGCTAGCCTCTCCAATGCTATCACCAGCCCGTCCAGGCTAATGCTAACCTATCCATGCTAATAGACAGCAGAGGGAGTGTGTGAACCAGTCAATGACCAGCCGAGGGCTGCTAGTCCCTAGCGTATCTAGTAGTAACGCCGGTAAAGGTGCTATTCCTCAGTAGTGCCAGCCTCTCACTTACTGGCACTAGTTATCATTAATTAGGTCGGTAGTTTGCTTCAGAATTTATATAGCCTCCTGCTGCTGGGCAGTAGTCTTAATTTTGGCCCCCATACCGCGCTATACTTAACACCTCATTCACACCAAGTACTGAAGTAAGAAGTGACCCTGACTCTGTGTGGCTTCTGCAAAGACCAAAAAAAAAAAATACATTTATTCAATTAGGAGCATTCTCACCGGCTGAGGTGCAGATCTGGATATGGAGCTCAGAAAAGTTCCGCATGGAGCTTATTTTTTCCCAAACAACACAAATTAATCTTTATGCAATGGACCTGTAGGTTTTTAAAGAGCTGACCTGAACCCCAGTAGGCAGTTCCCACCACCGCCATCTTGGCCATGTTGTGCATCTCATCACTTCTGCAAAATACATGAACAGAGCAAAGAGCAAGGCTGTGAGGGTGGGGGCACATCAAACTCAGCAGCGTAGCTACAAGCTAACTGAGCCAATCACAGCTAACGGCAAGCATTTTTAGCCAGAAAATCACAAAAATGCACCCCCCTCCCAGATTTAACTTGTAGTAAACAAGTAAACTTGATCTAATAAAGCTTAAATATTTTTTAAAAAGTCTGTAAACATGTTTATTTCTGCTATGAAGTTGGCATTTTTAAAAGGGGAGACTATGGGGACTTGCTCCTGACTGGTGCCAGCCCCTAGTGGATAAGGGGGGAACTGCAATTGTTGTCACTTCTGTTGGCTTCACTTATGGCAGGTGGAGTCTGACCTTTAGACGCCACATTAGGATTGTCATGAAGTTACAGAAATTACGTGAGCCAGACAAGAAGCTATACATGGACCAGCGAGGTTTCAAAATAAAAATAGTGTTGTAATTAAATATTTTCTGGCTTATTTATTTTTGATGACAGGGATATCAGTTCACATGTATGTATGATAGTTCATGTAATTTTTACAGGCAAATTTTAAAAACTATTATGTCAAATTTCTGATCATATTTTGTTCTTGTGGGAACAAATTTTGCTGAGATGTTCAGCGCACCAACTGCAGTCGGTGTGAACGGAAGTCCGTCCAGAAGCCATACAGAAACTGGACCGCAAATTTACATATTAAAATATTAGACCTATAAAACTATCTAGTGAGGGCCACTGCCCCTTGGTTTGAGTCTTAACCCTCATATATTCATTTAATTGTGTAACGTTTCTACTCCTTGTGCACAAAAAATGGATTAAGGGTTAAAGACTCAGAAAGCTTAATGGAAAAAGAAATATTCAAAATTCCACGTGAGGTTTTCAAAAAACTTTGTAAAAATGACCAGAATTGCAAATAAAAAAATAAAAGTTGGGTAATTTTAGCATCTCTGATACTAACTGCCTCGCCATCTTCTACAATTTTATTGTTAAATTCATTTCATTGAAATTTAGTCATTCTGTCTGAACTAATCCACCGGTCAGACAGATAAATATTTATTATTTGTCAGAACAAAAGTGGAAAAGGTGATTTATGTGAAAATGAATAGAAACTATAAAGAGTAGAATTTATTACAGTATGAGTCTGAGGCTGGGTCTGATGAATCAGAGCTTGGTGGGGACTCTGGTAAAATGGCTGTGGAGTAACCTCTATAGGCCACAACACAATGCAGTCAATGTGAATTGATTAGGATTTTGTTTCCAACAAAATATCTTAATTCCAACAAAAAAGAATATTGTTTATAATTAGAAATTATTGCTTTTATTTTTATCTTTTATTGTGTATCAGAACAAGGAGCATGTTGTCATTCAAATTTATGATCCAATAAAAGCCAGTTTCATACGATTATCATTATCTAATCCAGTTGACAGGTCTATCTGCCATCTCTGCTCTCTGCTTTGCTGCTTTGGTACAAAGAGATGAAGAGGCTGGCGGGGTTGAAGGAAGTGTGAGGTGGTGGGATTAGCTTTGGATTTCTGATCCAGCTCTGATGTAAAACTTTATTCTTCCTTTGAGGACACTTTGAGGATTTGCTGGAGCTGATAAGCTCTGATTGTGTGACCTTTCATAGTTTCTTTTATTTAGTCAATTTACAAATCTTCTTTTTTTCAAGCCATTTAAATGGTCTAAATCTCTTTAAAGGAACAATATATGAGGATTCTACTGTGAAAAACAATCACAAAACAGTCCAATGTTTCAAACATGTTAGAAGGAAGGCCATACGGAAACAGGGAGGCCAAAACGTCCCTCTTCCCAGCCACTTGGGCAAGCTCCTCTGGAGGAATCCAAAAGCGTTCTCTGGCCAGCTGAGGGACATGGTCCCTCCAGCGTGTCCTGGGTCTTCCTTTAGGTCTTCTCCCAGTTGGAAGTGCCTGGAAAACCTCACCAGGGAGGCATCCTAATCAGGTGCCCAAGCCACCTCAACTGGCTCCTCTTGATGTGGAGGAGCAGCGGGTCTACTCCAAGACCCTCCCAGATGACCAAGCTTCTCACCCAATTTCTAAGGGAGAGCCCAGCCACCTTGCGAAGAAAGCTTTTTTTGGCCGCTTGTATCCGCAACATCTTTCTTTCAGTCACTACCCAAAGCTCGTGGCCATAGATGAGGGTAGGAACGTAGATCAACCGGTAAATCAAGAGCTTCA